TTGACTCTCAAAGCCGTGATTCCCATCCACTTACATTATAAGACTGACAGACTGCAACGGTTTGAGTTAAAAACCGTAGTTTGTGTTCTACTGGAGAAACAAAGTCACCTACAACTTGGATGCCCTGGGGGTAAGCAGATAAACATCAAATTTTCATTTTTGGGTGAACTATCCCTTTAATTTTCTTTTTCCTAATTAAAACTATTTCAAATTGTTCATTTTAATTTGGGGTGAAATATAACCCAGGCATCGACAAGTTCTTGACAAGTTTTCATGAGATTCTCCTGAGGTCAATGATCAGTTGTGAAGAAAATTTACAAATAATGATGAAATAGTCTCTCAACGTTCATCTCAACACACTTCTGGGGCAGCGCTCTAGAGGTGAATATGGATGGCATAGCGGCTGCTTGCAGGTCAGAGTGAAAGTTCAACTTCTCAGACTAGATCAAGGTCAGCATTGCCTTGGATAGGTCAGGGGAGCAGGGAGTGTCTGCGTCTCTGTCTGTAATCCACTTCACACTGCTGGTTTGTGGAGCTGTGATCCCCTCTTTTGTGAACCTAAACCCGGCGTAGGCCAGCGAGGGGAGGTCAATTTGACAGTGTAGAAACCCGCCTGCGCAACTTTTTTCCACACACAGAATGCTGACACCAACGGTACGTGTACACACACACACACACACACACACACAGCAGCCGGAACTGCGCACAAGTGCATCACACAGCACTAAACTGCCAGCTAAGGGTTACTAGAAAAGAGCAGGATAGAGGAGGCTAAAACAGGGTTAGTAAGAGTGAAGTTATAGCAAGTTAACTAGAGCAAGTTAAAGAGATTCCAAGTGTTTGGAAAGACTGTGTGGCTTAGGTTAAGTCACAAATTCATTTCATTTCATTAAACAACAAAACATTGAATGCTGCAGCTTTTCTCAGAGCTGACTTCATGTTTCTAAGCCATTTGTGCTGTAACGTTTAACCAGCTGGTGTCCACATGATTTTAGTGGATGCATAAAGGCAGTTTTCAGAACCACATTAACATGAAACTAATTTTTGACAACCAGAACGTGTCACAATACTTCATTTTGTCATATATAAAGTGTTTAGTCTTAACTATTTATTATGTAATCTTAAATAATATGTTAATTAATACATAAAATTTATACATTTTTACTAAATTTACTATGTTTTTTAATACATAATTAATTAATACATTTATTAATATAATAGCTTTTAAGCTTTAAAATGGTGCTTGTGTTATCCTTGTGCCAAATAAATGCCACTTCAAATGATATTCATACATTCAAGTGTGGCTTATGCATCTAAATGCATTATAGGGAACTCTATGCATTATTACATTTTATTTTGTGTTTCATTTTTGGATGTTGTAATTTTATTTTGTACTAATTTTTGACAACCAGAACGTGTCACAATACTTCATTTTGTCATATATAAAGTGTTTAGTCTTAACTATTTATTATGTAATCTTAAATAATATGTTAATTAATACATTAAATTTATAAATTTTTACTAAATTTACTATGTTTTTTAATACATAATTAATTAATACATTTATTAATATAATAGCTTTTAAGCTTTAAAATGGTGCTTGTGTTATCCTTGTGCCAAATAAATGCCACTTCAAATGATATTCATACATTCAAGTGTGGCTTATGCATCTAAATGCATTATAGGGAACTCTATGCATTATTACATTTTATTTTGTGTTTCATTTTTGGATGTTGTAATTTTATTTTGTTCAACACTTTTGCACCAGTTCATGTTAGTTAAAAAGTAAACGTAATTGCAACTTTTTAATCTCACAATTCTGACTTTTTGCATGCAAATCTGAAAAACAAAAAGTCTGAATTGTAAGTCACAATTGCAAGAAAAAGGTCAGAGTTGTAAAAAGGTCACCTTTTTGAAACGAGCTTCCAGTTGCATTAGTAATGTGCCTTAGAAGCAAACTCAAACGTGAAAATATGTACAATTTTATAGGGTTCAAATGATAGAAAACGGCACGATCTGAATTCTTAACTCTAAAACACATTAAAGTCTCTGAAATGCTGGTTTCCAGTTACAGAGGATTTGTAAATTAAAACAGTGACTACAGTATACTGCCAAAAATCAGACCCTGAAACAAGTGAAAGGCAAGTCATTTTTAAGTACTTGGACTATTGTGTTTGTAGAGTAAAACGTCAATACTCAAAACTGCTATTATGTACATTTTTCAGGGTCATCACTAAAATTCAACAAGGCCCAAGACAATGCTTTCATGATATTTAGTAACTGTACAGAAAGATTTTTTCATCAAATGAAACATACAGTAAGACTCTAAACATAACAAAATGAGCAGTTCCAGATATGTAAAGAGAGCAGGCCCAGCTGGGACAGACAGCAGCCTGAGCTGCACCAACACAACACAGAACACTCCCACTCTGCCAGGCACAATTGTTAAAAACTGGTTGGTTTTCATGACGCTAATGGTGTGGAAACATTTCTAAAATCAAAGCTTCCGGATACCAGAAGTTTTTCTTTGTAAACTCCAAATATAGGTCACTCTAGAATAACTATTTAATGGCACACATTGAAGATTAGCAGACAGAATGTCAGTCAGTCAGCGATAAGCTGTTTCCTTACAAAAGGAGTTTAACGTCCTGAAGAATATCCTCCATTGACATTCATTCGAAACACTAAAGCTGCGTCTGCATACTGTCTGAATAGGTAATGCATTCAATTTGGAACTATTTCCAAAAGCTATAATTAAGTACCACGTTTGAATGAGAACTTGGTGACCGTTAAAAAAAACGAATGTAACGTTATAAACTACATTAAAAAAAAAACTAAACTATGTTGAAGGCATACAGGGTAATTCATTCCAGATGTAAGTGTATGAATGAGTCATTGAATCATTCACTCAGCAGGTTTTGTATGGAAGGACGTTTCCGTGGTTAAGGCTAGAAGAGATAGGCTACAGCAAAAACTATTGGGCATGTGCACATCAATATAGCGTCATTTTTCTCACACTGTACATCAATAATGACTGTTTTTGTATTATTATAAGGGGTAGGTTTAAGGTTGGGGTTGGTGTAGACGTTAATAAAACACAATCTAATAGGCAGAAAATGTAATTTATTCTTAGCTTCCGGTTTTTACTGCATTCCTTCTAGCCACAACCCGTTTCCACCACTGAATAAAAAATTTAAGGTAATTGCGACTTTTTCTCTGAAAATTCGGACAATTTTTTTCTTCAATTATGATTTCACGATAAAACGTTTTTTTTTTTCTCAGTATTGTTGGATATAAACTCGCAAATGCGAGTTATAAAGTCAAACGGCAAGATATAAAGTCAGAATTGCGAGATACTGTATAAACTCTCAATTCTGAGAAAAAGTCAGAATTTTGAGTTTTTAATCACGCAATTCAGAGAAAAAAGTCTGAATTGTTAGATTATATAAGTCGCAATTACCAGTGGTGGAAACGGCCGTCCACATGATTGAAAACACTTCATGTTCTTTATAAAAAAATAAAAATAAAAATAAAAAAAAAGAGGTAAAGTATGTACTATATAGTAGGGAAGTATTAAGACAGGGTAATTTACTCTGGATCAAAATGAATCCATGAGTCACTGAATTATTCACTCAATTGGATCATTCAAAAGCACTGATTCGTTCAGATAACAATGTTGCATGGAGACACGCAACAGTTCTCCTTGGACTTCAGTTGGAACTATTTTCGGTGCTGAAGAAAAATAGACAAACTGTGATTGTAAACATTGTGTACTAAATATAACTTGCTCAATATTATCTTATTTGTTGACATTGTATAAAAGCAAAATTACACCTGCAATCATGGGAATGCTTATGTTTGGAGTATTCTTGCTTATGCAATATTGCATAAACATAAAACTTCATTACCAGACACAATACAGTTCATAAACACATTAAAGAGACAAGTTTTCATCTACTAGATGTGGTTTTATTTCCGCTTACAGTACATTCTACAGATGCACGCGTGTTACATTACCTTGAAACAACATGGTCATTTAATGTCGCCTCTTAAAAACGATATATTGGTCCTAAAAATATAGAAAGGAACAAATTTAAAGTCACAAAAACTGTACATTATTAAAAATTCACTAGACACCACATTTGGCTGAGTTTTCTTGTACTGTCTTCAGGTTTTACCGTCTGTAAAAAAAAAAAAAAAAAGAAAAAAAAAAGAAGAAAATATGTCCCTTTTGTATGATGAGGAACACCGAGTTAATGACGCACTGCCTACTACGCGGATCGAGTTCAGTGTATGAAAACATGGCAAATGAACATGAATAGTGTGCTCTACTGCGCTCCTCTACTCAGTGCACTAAGAAAAATGAAGAACTAAGGGAGTTCTTATGCGTCAGTTACACCAGTAATGATGCAAGGCATTTTCATTTGAGAAAGCATGGTTAGTCAAAAGACTCTTGTAAAAAAAAACAAAGAACAAAAGTCATTTTTAAGGGAGTTGGTCCAGGTTCAAACACACACACATCATTAAAACACATAAAACAGTCTAAACATCTGAGGATGTGGCGGTTTCAGAAACCCAACAAACTGCCATGTTCATGAAAACCAAGATCAAACCAGATCAATAATACTGAAGAGACAGCGAAGATATTGTTCCGATGAAAAATAAGTATTGCTAAACAAAACTATACTGCCGTAAGTACGTACATATCCTTTCCATATAAACCAATATCAATACAGTCTAAAGTTTTTTTTCCCCACAGACAATAGTCATACACCAAGCAAAAGCTTTGAAAACGGCTATCTAGCTAGCAGAGCTTAAAAACAAGAAAGTTAAAACCGGCCTTTCGTTGCATCAGTTCTGCTGTTGGCTTTATGTCAGATTTCCATATGAACAAACACTGATTTCTTTCTGGGTTTGGGGGGGCGTGACAGAAAAAATACCCTAGTAAAAGATGTCAATCCTCCAGTTTATAAGACCAATACTCTACAAGCAAAAGAAAGCATGGTTAGTCAAAAGACTAGTGTAAAAAAAAAAAAAAAAGAACAAAAGTCATTTTTAAGGGAGTTGGTCCAGGTTCAAACACACACACATCATTAAAACACATAAAACAGTCTAAACATCTGAGGATGTGGCGGTTTCAGAAACCCAACAAACTGCCATGTTCATGAAAACCAAGATCAAACCAGATCAATCATACTGAAGAGACAGCGAAGATATTGTTCCGATGAAAAATAAGTATTGCTAAACAAAACTATACTGCCGTAAGTACGTACATATCCTTTCCATATAAACCAATATCAATACAGTCTAAAGTTTTTTTTCCCCACAGACAATAGTCATACACCAAGCAAAAGCTTTGAAAACGGCTATCTAGCTAGCAGAGCTTAAAAACAAGAAAGTTAAAACCGGCCTTTCGTTGCATCAGTTCTGCTGTTGGCTTTATGTCAGATTTCCATATGAACAAACACTGATTTCTTTCTGGGTTTGGGGGGGCGTGACAGAAAAAATACCCTAGTAAAAGATGTCAATCCTCCAGTTTATAAGACCAATACTCTACAAGCAAAAGACGCGAGTTACACGTGATATAGTATGTTTACTGGCCATTTCATGAGTCACCTATACATCTCTCTACGACGTGGTCTGTACAGATTCACTACAGTCTATTGCTATTAAATAATCCCGACTACTTTTTTTTCTGTCTTTAAGTGTATATATAGCATATAATAAAAATATACTGAGGAAATTGCTTCTAGTCTCGAAAGCACGTTACATTTTCAATCAAGGGGACACGGGTGGTCCACGGCCTATACATTATGGAGCAGACGGCTTCGAGTAAAATGGTTGAAAGAGTGAGAACGTCCTGATAGAGGTGTGTCTGCGACACGTGACATCAAGTGTGACCCGATCAAGTCCTGAAGAAGTACTTCTACTCCGAAGGAGTGACTGACGAAGCTGAATAAAGAGGAGACGTTTATACGCCGTAATACCAGGTGATGAAGAAATGCTTTAAGCTTATCAAGGCGGGTGAGGGGGACAAACAGATACTTGTAAAACCAACAGAACAAATCTATACATATATCTACACGTGTATGCATACAGAGGGCTGGCTCTCCAGACAGAGTTTTTAGTAGTACTGAGCATCAAAGGGGCATGGCGTACGAGTGCTTCCTCCCATGCAGCAGAGGGCAGCGTCTCTATTTGTCCTTGTTGTCGTAAAACTCCGCCCAGCGGCTCTCGAAGAACCGCCGCATGGAGTGTCCGGCCTTGCCCACCTCCGACGTGTCCTCGTTGAAGAGCTCGCAGTTGTTGAAGATCAGCTGAGCGTCGGCAGCAAACTCCTCACAGCTGCAGTACCTGAGACACACGGGTGTAAACACAGACGCAGTCTTACACGCTAATCAGGTTATTCACTCCACCGCAAAGCCTGATCACCCAGACGCAATGTCAAATACAGATATAAAGATATATTTAGTTTATTTTGTTGTTAAACATTTTTCAGGTTATAACATAACAATCGGTAACAACTAAGAACTCACATAAGATGAGGCATCAATTTTTTAGTATTAAAAAAACGTAAGAGTTTATACAAGTAAAAATCTATTAATTATATCTTTACAAGAGTTCAAATGTTAATTACTAAAATAACAAAAAATATGTAATAAATTATTATTATTCTATCATTTTATTTTATTATTTAAATAATTATATATATATATATATATATATATATAGGGGTGTAGTGGTACACACATTCGCTACAGTGTGAATTATTATATTTCATAAGAAATTTGAGCAGAAATTATTTTATTTTATTACTGGATTTACAGGTTTTTGTACAATTTACATGTTTGCATACAATTTTTTTCTTGAGTGTTGATTATTATATCTAATAATAAATAGTAACTGAATTTAAAAGTTTAGTAAACTTGTGTAAACCTCTGTTCAATATAATTTATATCTATCCATCGATCTATCCATCCATGTGCATGTGTATGTGTGTGTGTGTATATATATATATATATATATATATAGAGCAAAGGGTCTGAATACTTAGGACCATGTGATATTTCAGTTTTTCTTTTTTAATAAATCTGCAAAAATGTCAACAATTCTGTGTTTTTCTGTCAATATGGGGTGCTGTGTGTACATTAATGAGGGAAAAAAAATTAACTTAAATGATTTTAGCAAATGGCCGCAATATAACAAAGAGTGAAAAATGTAAGGGGGTCTGAATACTTTCCGTACCCACTGTATATATATATAAATTATATTGAACAGAGGTTTACAGAATAAAAATTGTGGCTCTCTTTAAATACATTCAATTATAATTAAAATTATAAGGAAAGGAAGGAAACGATGTGTGGCCAAGTTTGGTGTCCAATACTAGGAATTTGTGCTCTGCATTTCACCCATCCAAGTGCACACACACAGCAGTGAGTAGTGAACACACACCCGGAGCAGTGGGCAGCCAATGCTGCGGCGCCCGGGGAGCAGTTGGGGGTTTGGTGCCTTGCTCAAGGGTCTCAGCTCAGTCGTGGTATTGAAGGTGGAGAGAGAGCGCTGTACATTCACTCCCCCCACCTACAATCCCTACCGGACCTGAGACTCAAACCCGTGACCTTTGGGTTACTCTCTAACCATTAGGCCATGACTGTATCCATAAGGATACAACCTATGCAAAATATCTGCTAATCTTTTACATACAAATATGAATATATGTATTTTTTTCATTGTTACGGTTACAGATTTGGCAAATCCAATTACTGGTAAATTGAACTTAAACGTCTAACTTATCATTTAAGAACTTATAAATGCTTGTGAAAATATGAATATTAGTTATCAAATAAATAATAATTATATGAACAAATTCTATTAAAAATAAATAACATTAAAAACATAAGTTACATTTTAAAATATGAGTAAAAAATGTATTAAATTAAATAAAAAATTTAGTCTAAACTATACTAAACAATTTCTGGGTACAGTTCATGACTCAGCACAGCTGTAAAATTGAGGTCAGCCTTTATCCAGGCACATCGTCTCTTACCCTCCCTGCAGAAGTCTTTCCCTCATAGTGAGGAAGTCCATGGGGGTTTTGATGATGCGTCGGTAGCCAGGCACCAGGCGGGGATTGACCGGCTCCAGGAAAGGCCAGGCATCTGAGTGAGCCTCCATTTCCATCAGAATGATCCTACAGCACATCAAACAGCTCGCCAATTACTCCATGACACACACTCATTATCCCACGTAGTGAATTCATTTAGACTCGGCTCAGAGATGCACCAAAACGCATTTTCAAATCATGACAACAGATGATTATATATCACTTCTGTTTATTTTTCATCCAGGCAACCCACTAACATATAAAGTGCCACTTAAAAAACAATTCTAAATGTAATAATAATAAAAGTTATTAGCTCTTAATAAAAGCATGTTGTATTTTGAAAGTACTGTTTTGCACAGGCCTGCAGACTCACTCGCAGTAGGTGAGGTCAGGCTGGTTTCGTGTGGCCATCCGTCTGCGTTTGGAGGGGGAGATGCTCGTCCCACTTGAGGAAGCTGCGGTGTCTTTTTGTCGTGTGGTCATGCCTCGTCTGTACCCATCATCCTCGTCTGAACTATCCTCTGCAAGACGCCTTTTCTGCACTTTTGATCTTTTCCGAGATGAGCGCTGCGATCTCGGAGATTCACCGCTTTCCTGCAAAATTCTGTTTCTTAGTTTTTCTTATAAACATAGGCAAATATAGACAAAGAAAAATATTCAATTCAAACATTAATATGAAAGAGATGGGGCAAAAACGGAAGCTAGATAGTTAAGCATCTTGGTCACATTACCTTGGCAACGCAGGTGGGACAGAACCAGTCGCCTTCTGGCACCTGCATGACCTTTGGCCTCAGGCAGAACATGTGACAGCCACGATCACAGCCGTCACACAAGAGCAGGTACTCATCATCATCACCTTTACGGCACACCTGACACGTCTGTGGACACACCAACACCCGTTTAGACGAAACTAGAACACGATGATTTTGATAATACAGCATTTTATTATTTCATTTGAGAAAAACTATTAGAACTTAAAAGGTCTTCATGGCAACCCGTCAAAATAAAAGTTCGGTTTCACTTGAAGAAATTGTAACAAATATATTATTGTACAGTAAATGTACGTCTTAATTCTATAATAATAAATACAATTATTATTAAAACTTGTTTTAAAAATAATTAAAATTTTTCATCAATGTTTTTATTTTAACAGTAAACCTCTGTTGTCCAGTACTTCATTTGCAAAAAAAAAAGGTTTGTTTCATTAGATAAAAAGATACATTAAATTGTTTTATGTCTTCATTTGATTACCAGACAAATTAAAATAAACAACAATTTCTGAAGAAGAAAAAAAAGCTAAAATAAAAATTCAAAGGGCACTATTATTGTAGAAAATGTCACTGTTTGAATTGTATGAATTCAATTAAATACACATGCTTTTGGATCATTAAAATTTAATTAAACCATTAAAATGGAATCCGGAAAAATTCCAAAATGGAAAACAGAATTAGGTAAAAATAAAACAAAATTTGAGAAAAAATAAAACATTTCAAAGAGCCCTAAAAATTTCATTTTTGTTCAACTTTTATAAATTATTATTAAATTGTAAAAGTTTCATGATTTTAATAATTAGACATGGTTTTTGATTACTAAAATGTAATTTAACCATTAAAACAGAGACCAGAAAAATCTAAATGGGGGGGAAAAAATGGAATCCAAAAAAATTACAACAGAAAAAAAAAAAACTGAATTTGGGAAAAAATTTAACAATTCATAGAGCCCTAAAAACACATTCAACATACTCTGAAATAAACATATTTATGGTTAGAGAACAACACTGCATATGAAATAGCCATTTCACTAACATCCACCATACTTAGTGAAAGACAGAAAACAGAAGATCTGGTTTCTCAAGACACCTATTTTAATGATATCTGTCAGGTATGTATATAAACAAAATTGTGTAATTAGGCCTGGACAATAATTCAATATCAATATATATCGCGATATAATTTTTTTCAATAACAGTGATATGCTTTTTAAACACATTTCCGATATTTCGATATACATTACCAGTGTTTCCCATACATTGATTTATTTGTGGCGGACACTGACCGCCACAAATAGATTTTCCAAAAGGCTTTAGGACAGTTTGACTTCGTTGAATAAACATGAGCGCTGCACGTTTCAAAATCAAAAAGCGGGTCGGGTGTTTTATATCAATGCATCTCTGAAGGGAACTGACTGTCTTCAGAAAAGTTTCCATGTCATTTTATCTGATAAATCAGCATTCATGAGCGCAGTGCTGCTTTGTTTACAGCCGTTACCGGAGAAACCGCTGGTTCTGCTGCTCTCAAAGCGCCTCCTGCTGGCAGAGAATCAGTTTGCATTTTCAATAAGCCCTTCTCCAGCAACATATGTTTTTGTTGTTGCTTTTTCTGTTTTCTGCAGCAACTCTGAGAACTTTTAATATTCTTTATCCTGGCTGAAGCACTTTTTGCATTTACAATAAGCCCTTCTCCAGCAACATATGTTTTTGTTGTTGCTTTTTCTGTTTTCTGCAGCAACTCTGAGAACTTTTAATATTCTTTATCCTGGCTGAAGCACTTTTGTTTCAATCTATAAAAATAATCAGCCTGTGTTATAGTTTAAAGTTAAACATATTAAAATTAATAAGGTGAATCTGAAGGTCCTTGGACACCGAGTCCGAAATTTTGCGTATGAGTTTTTCGTATTCGTCATCCTTTCCTATCACAATGCTTGCTACGGATGCGAAAGTGCAGAAAATCGAACCTGGTCCGTTTTTGTTTTTTTTTTTATGACGAACGAAAATTTCGGAGGCATTGTGTAAACGTGATTGACACAACGTGACGTCGTATTTATTTTTCAACGTGTGAAAATTTCGGTCGACGCAGTGTGCAATGGCCTTGAGAGTTTATTTGATAGTGATTTCACATTTTTTGTTTGTATGAAGGCTAAACATTAATTTAATTGTACCGTTTTTATTTCTAAAATGTTATAGTTTTATAGGAGGAGGTTTCGTAGGCTTAGCAAATTCATTTTTCAGAAGTTTGTAGGCACAGACATCTTTTGTGGGTGTTCTTGGCAGTTTTTTTTTTATATTGTGACCGACATTTTGACCGAAATTAAGAAATATATCGTGATTATAAATTTTGCCCATATCGTCCAGCCCTATGTGTAATATATAATAATGGTACAGACTCTGAAGCGGAGTGAACGTGTGTGTGCTCTTACCACTTTGATGACGGATCTTTCCCAGGCGATGGCTTTCTCCAGCTGCAGCAGACAGAGAGAGAGTTGAGACGCACTGCGGCAGCGGTCCAGGGCCTGCCGCCATGTCCTCAACCTGGGTGTGATCTCACTTTCCAAGCTACAAAGACAAACAAACACATGACTGATATGCTCTAGAGTGCATATAATGTACTGTAGAATTTGGAACAATTCTTTGTTGAAAAATATGATTATTTTGAAAAGTGATGCTTTGGAGATAATTTTTCACTTTATTACCCAAAGACCCTAACTCTGACCCACCTCACAGCATCTAGTGGGACCTCCTCCCCGCCGGGCGGAGGGGTGAGAGGCGCCAAGCGCACCACCTCGGACAGGGTCCACAGCGGCTCCTTCAGATAACGGCGCTCGATGTTGCGCTCCAGATTAGTCAAGCGGAGGACGGCCAGGTCCAGGGGGTTGCTGGGAGCTCGCAGGAGGTCGGACCATTCCTTCTTGGTCTTGACTATCCAGTCGTCCTTGGGGTCAATCTCGTGCTCGTAATACTGCAGGTCATCCCGCGTGGAGTCCGCCTCGGGAGGGGTATACATCTGAAACCAGGACAAAAGTCCAAAGTTAATATTACAACAATTTTGATGTCAGATGTAACCTAGGGTAAACCAAAAACATAATTACTTAAAAAGAAAAAATAATAATACTTCTATTCTCTGCTGCTATTCTCTCTCCCTCACACACACACACACACACACACACATTCAGAAGGGCTGCTGATAGACGGTGTTGACGGTTTTACTGGTGTGAAGCCACAACACCGGTTAAGTCACCACCGTTGTTTTGATTTTTTATGGTAATAAAAACAATTTAGTTCAGTTAGAGAACAGACACTACAATTAAAACTGAACGTGGCTGCTCAATGTAGCGTGCCGAACGAAAGTCGCGTCACGGATCAGTTTTCATTTATCACGTGAGGAGAAGCTGACAAGAAGATTGAGGTGAGACAGACAAGACGATGGCAGAAGAGTTTCCAAACGACGTGCAAAAGCGCCCGTTTTAAAAATATGTTGGATTTTGAAAAGCATGTTGACTTCTGCAATTTATCTAAGGTGATATTGGAAGTTTATTTATTTGGTTCCACAGTGTTTGCTGATTTTTATTTAAACGGTGTATTTTTTTTATTTTACATAAAGTATGCCATGTCTCCAAGCTTTCTTATTTGTTTTGCTAATAAACTTATGTTTCTTATTTATTTGGTTACACAGTGTTTACTGATGTTCAGTTTTGTATACCTAAACTTTGTGTAAGTTATTTGTTATTTTATATTAGGCATATAGCATGGTGTATTTTTAATTGTTTTTTTTTATAAAAGTTCTATGTTCTACGTTGTATTTTGTTGTTGCTTGAATTGAATTCAAGCAATTGACGCCAGATAAGCTATTTAAAAGTGAAGGAAAGTGAGGAGAAGAGGGAAAACTCAAACGAACTAAAAACAAAGAACTGCTTGACGCCGAATTGCCGAATAACGGTATTACCGGTGTTGTCACACATCGATTAAGCGGTGGGAAAATTTCCTCACCGTCACAACCCTAATATACAGAACAGAGAGAGAGCGAGAGAATTTATATACACACATACATACAGCGGGTAAAATAAGTTTTGAACACCTCACCATGTATTTCTAAAGATGCTGTTGACATGAAATTTTCACTAGACGTCGATAACAATCTTGATTTTAATAATTAAACAATAGTTTGAATAATTTTATATAATTCCTGTAATAATAATAGAATTAAATAATACACCTTTACCCTAATATTCCCTTTTTAAGAGTTTAAATAATCAGCAATAATGAAATTAAATAATGAAATATATTAACACAGGTTTAAATGTTAATTACTATAACTATATATTAGTTAGAATAAACAATTTGCATACATTTTCATTATCGCATTTGTTTAAGATATTCCTTTTCTCATAAGTAATAATTTATTGAATGCATTTAATTACATGTGTAATACTGAAACTCTGTTTATATGGTATGTGTTTTTGTTCTGTAAAATCTGTAAAAAGCATTACTGATGCTTATGAATATAGGCGTATCGAAATAATGAGTACAATATTAAATATATATATATATATAGAGAGAGAGAGAGAGAGAGAGAGAGAGTATAATTAAAAGAAAAATTCAGAAAAAAATAAATCACAAAGCCATGAAAAAACCTCAACACTTACAATTTGTGAGCAACTCATCAGGTTGTGTCACATTCATTATGAGTAACTCACGGAGCGGTTTCCTCTACTTATTAGGATTAATAGTCTCAAAACAGAGCACTTGAGTGTGTGGTTTTCACTACCTGAAATTGAGAGCTTGATGATTCCTGACTAGCCTCACTTTCACTCTCCGCATTGGGAAAGGCCACCTGGAGAGAAAGATTGTGTGATGAAGTGAGCGTGCTTGTGTGCAGTACATACAGCACAAACAGTGTCACCCTGTGGTCACAAATGGAGCAAGACCTTACAGTACTGTGATTACTTCAATAAAAGAAAAAGTGGCTTCTGAATCTGCTTAACAGGCTTTCTTTACCTTGAGCTGAAGGTCTGCACCGACCACCCTCTGCTCCAGATCTTCCACGCACTGGAGCACATTGATGTCTAACTGCAGGACTCTCTCCTGCTCACTCCACGCCTGTTTAGACGCCTCCAGCAGGGCATGGCCGTCCTCCACCGTCATCTGGAAGATGGGATCTGGGAGGAAACGATGGAAAACAACGAAATAAACATGCTGCTGTCCACCAACTCCTGCAGTCCCTCTGTATGTGCTGCTGCTCCTCACCGCTGACGGGCCGCGTGCAGACCTCAGACATATACTCCATGTGTTTGGCGAGGTGCTTGTGGAGCACTTTCTCACGAATGCCTCGAGGGTGGAGGGCGCTCAGAATGCCTGTCAGCTCCTCCGGTTCTTTGATCCACCACCAGCCCTTCACCATTTCTGTAGGACAGAAAGACATGACGCCAATGAACGCTGCTCTGCTGGAAACCAAGAGCTTTAGGATGTCATTCAAGATACACAAATAACAGTTTTCTTGGTGCGTAAACAGTATTTATATATGCAAATGAAGTAATGAATATTACATAATACATATTTTCTCCGCATTGTACCAGTAGAGCATCCCAAATAAAACACTAAACTTAGCATGAAGATAAAACTCTTCATATGGGATTTGATTCTGCTCAAATCTGTAAGGCATTGCTGAAGCTTACGAATATAGGAATTATAAAGCCATTATGTTTTTTCCTAAACAGACAACACATTTTATGAAAGTTTATTCTTATGAACTCAAGGTTATGAAATATTTCAAGAGATAAATCAGTTCAGTAATTTGAATTGAAATGAACATATCAAACTGATAAGTGAATTAGAATATAATTATTCTATGATTTATTAATATTATTTTATTTAGTTTTTTTCAGAATTACAGACAATTTTAGAGAAAATTACTTTTAAAATTTTACAGAATTTTTAAAGATTAGGGCAAGCTTTTTTTTAAAAATAATATATCATTTAGATAGTATAAAAACAATGCTGATTAATAATATTAAATTTTTTATAACAGTTTTTATATATATATTTTTTTATTTTCAGCTGCATCTTCCACCAAATAATTACAAAGAAATAAAAGCGAACTATCTGTGCCATACTGAATTGCATTGCATAATTTTTTTCATTGCATCTTGTTTTCTTTGAATCGCATTGTGTTGAATCGAAATCAGATCACACTGCATCGTAATAGGGGTGCATCGCACCAGTAGCTGCTTCATATGTATGTTTAATGTATCGTATTGTTGGCTATGCATCAAGATCCGTATCGCAACGGCCTCAGTTATGAGATGCATATCCCTAATATATATATATATATGCATATTCTTTTCCAAATAGTTTTAGTTTTAACTTACAATAATATCTTTTATCATTTAATTTTTTTAAATAAATATTTTAATATCTAACTATGTTAAGTGTTTTATTTTTTTTATTAATTAGATTAATTTAAAATAAATTATTAGCTTCTAGGGCTGCCACTAACGACTTTTTATTTCGATTAATCTATCAACTAATTTATCGATTAATCAATTAATCTAAACTATTAATTCCCCGCAAAAAAAAAAATCAACAATTTTACTTACGAATATTTTAGTAAACTATTTTAATATAGGATATATAAATCCTAAATGCACCACTTCCGGTATTTTGCCGGTTAGTCGACACAAGCAAAATGAAGTCGAGGATCAACAATTTTACTTACGAATATTTTAGTAAACTATTTTAATATAGGATATATAAATCCTAAATGCACCACTTCTGGTATTTTGCCGGTTAGTCGACACAAGCAAAATGAAGTCGAGGATTTAAAAAAATCGAATAGTCGAATAAAATCAACGAATCGCGAGAGCCCTATTAGCTTCCCTCACAAACTTCCAACAGTTCACAAACCACAGTTTGGGAAACTCTGGGTTCGATAAAGTTGCCTTGGCTTGGTGACATATTTAAACTAAACATAATAAACATCCATCCAATTCCTAGGCTCAGTATTTCAGAGAAAACTAAATGGTCAAGATGACAAGGCTTCGAAAAACTTAAGTAATCTAAGAACGCAAGATGGCCAAAAACATATTCCACCCTAATTGTCAAGTCCAGCATAAGTCCTGCAACATCACAGCACTCACCTAACGGAATAGGCTTCACCACCAGCTGAGTGAAGTACTTCAGTTCAACCTCTTGGAAGAGATTGGAGGGAGGTCTGCCACGCCTCTTCGCCGCACTGGCGCGAGCGTGAGCTCGGGACGCCCCGCTGCTTCTCCTGCGCCTCCTACCGGCCCTGGGAGCCGGAGTGGAGCACACCTTAGGAAGAGGAAGAGGAGCCGCTTCCGTCTGCATCTGCGGTTAAGAACAAAGAGGGAAGCGATCAGAAGGATAAAAATTCGGCATTCAGAATATTCAAAAACTTTCTGATGTGTGACCCTGGAGCACAAAACCAGTCATAAGTAGCACGGGTATATCTGTAGCAATAGCCAACAGCACATTGTATGGGTCAAAATTGTCAAATTTTCTTTTATGCCAAAAATCATTAGGATATGACGTAAAGATCATGTTCCATGAAGATATTTTGTAAATTTCCTACCATAAATCTATCAAAACTTAATTTTTAATTAGTAATATGCATTGCTAAGAACTTCATTTGAACAACTTTAAAAGTGATTTTCCCAATATTTAGATTTTTTTTGCAGAATTTCAAATAGTTGCATCTCAGCCAAATATTGTCCAAACCATACATCAATGGAAAGCTTATATATTCAGCATAAATCAGTATTAATTTCCAATTTTAAAACATTGACCCTTATGACTGGTTTTGTGGTCCAAGGTCACATCTTCTTAAAGGGTGAACCTGTGCTGTCGGAGGCTGTGGTGGAGGAGGAGCGAGCGGGTCACTATCGAGGGGTGCTGGAGTGTCTTCAGTGGGGGATGAAGCAGGCGCAGGTGTGTTCTCGCACGGCTGGGAGATCGAGGTCTCGTCACACGGCACCTTGGGCAGCAGATTGAACCACTGGCCTCTTTTCTCTGCCTGCTCCCTCATGCTGTCCTCCGGCTGGCTGTTATCCTCGCCCTGACCGGCTCCAGACGCTGCGATCGGCGCGCTGCTCTCGGTCTCTGCGTCCTGCGGCTGCTCGAGAGGCGTCTGGAAAGCGGGCTGAGCGGGATCCTGCACAGGAGAGCTGAGAGTCGAATCCTCAGCTGCTGATCTGCTGCTACGGCGGCGCCGCCGGTTCTTGGCGGTTCGCAGGTGGAGCTCCACTTCGGGTTTGATCTTGCGCGGGCGTCCCCGTCCTCGAGGGCTGCTCATCAGAGAGGCCTCGCCAGGTAGAGGATCCGCCTCTGTGGGGGAAAGCTGGGACGCTCGAGGAGAAGTGGGGAGAGATGCGGCGAAAGCCGGAGAGAGGGGAGGCTCAGCTTTAACCTCAGTCTTCACTGGAGTTATGACCTTCACATAAGTCACAGGTTCATCGCTGACTGTCACTTCATCTGAGGCTGAACACAAGCAACTGGTCATTAATATCGGTAACAAGTAGGGTAGCACAATAATATTCACACATGATGAAAATCTGAAAGTCATTAAGTATTGTAATTTACAAATATTTTATTTTTACAGTCGTAACACTTTTTTTTATTTTACAGTGACATATTACAAGTCATATTTATTTTGTTTTATTTTTTACATTTTTATTTAGTACTATGACAACTACTGCTACTAATCATTATTATTATTATGATTAATATTATTATTTCACAAAATTTGCGCAGCCCAACAATTTTTTTTATTGCATTTTAATTTAAACATTAAGATTGGTAACAAGTAGGGCTGCACAATTAAGTCTTAAAATTAAGAAATTAAGAATGAACAATATATATATATTAATACTGTTGCATAAAAATTACTATTTTTCTTAATTTCTTACATATTTTATTTTACAGGGAAATATTACAATAGCAATGTTTCTTAATTTATGTAGTTAATTTGGTAATACTACTATTAATGACAATAATAATAATAATTATTATTATTATTACTATAACAAAAAAATAACAAAATAAAAGTTGTTGTTAATAATTTTATAGCCATATTAATATATTTAAAAAAATCACAAAAAAAAAATATGCAGCCATACAAACAAGTACAGAAAAACTGGATTTTTTTTTATAGCAATTTAAATTGGCAGAAAAAAAAACAATTTGATTTTTTTTAATAATTGAATTTTTTTTTCTTTCCCAAATCATGCAGCAACAAGAATACCAAGGAAAAAAATGAAACGTAGGAATCATTAGGCACAAATCTGGTTATGATTCAGCCAATCAAAATCAGATTCACCATGCTCGCAAATGTTTGAATGGCACTTATCTTTAATGCTTTGTCCTGCATGTGATTTTATAATAACCAGGGCCAAATATAAAAATAAATAAAAAATTGAGATTCATTGTGAGAACAGAATCGTGATTCATCTGTGACTCCACAGCCTGATTGTCTATGGGACATTACGTCATGTACAGACTCTGAGGAGGATCATAAAGGCCTAAATCTCAAAGTGTGCGAGCTACCAGACTAACTGCATGCTGGGAGTTTCCACTCACCCAGGATATCCTCTGCTCCCTCCACGAGGACACATCCCATATAAGGCAGCAGCAAGTACCTGCGGCGGTAGCGATCCTGCCCCAGAGACACTGCCCGCATGGAATGAGATGACTGCTGCAGCTTCTTGCGGAAAAACACTTGCCGCTGTGAGACAGAAGCAAACATTGTTACTCAGCCAACAGCCTTCACATTTAACAAAGGTTTGAAATGAATGAAGTTTGTTTCACATGATTCTAAAAACATTTTGAAGCTGCTTTATGCTATTGTATAAAGTGTTCTGTAACTTATGCCTTAACCGAATTAGGTGTGTGTAAACTTTTGACTAGTGATGCAATGAAATCAAATTCATAACCAAAATCTAAACTTCAGGACTCACTGGAACTAAACCCACAAATCCTCACCTTAAATCAGCTTTTTTTGGAGTAACTATCAATTCTATTCTAATCAGTTCTAATATTATTAATATATTTAAGTGAATACACCAACTTGGTGTAACTTCACAATAACATATATGCTCTAAATGATTTCCAAACAAGTATAGACGAACTGTATAGAATAAACAGTGTTATTATACATGTGTCAGTGTTAATCAAATTTAATTTAAAAAGATTCTGAATCTCAAAAATGTCCTTTTCATCAGCTGAGATTTTGGTGGATCCATACCTACATCAGTTATTAAATATAGATATGTTACCTTGGTCAGTTTATCAATCTGACGCTCCAGCTCAGCAACACTGCAGGTATTGGGACTCTCAATCTATGAGAAAACAATACAAACATAAAATATTTACTAGTGCTGCCAAACGATTCAAAGCAAGTTTTTGTTTACATAATATATGTTTGTGTACAGTGTATATGTATTATGTATATATAAATACACACACATGCATGTATATATTTAAGAAAAATATTTTACGTTTATATATTAAATATATTTATATGTGATATAATTTATATGAATATAAATATATACATGCAAATAAATGTAAATATTTTAAAATATATGCTGTATGTGTGTCTCTTTATATATATATATACATAATAAATATACACACATATGTAAACAAAAACTTATTTTGGATGCGATTAATCGTTTGGCAGCACTAATATTAACACACAGGTAACAAAACAGTTAAACCAGGAAACCCCTTTGAACAACCTTTTTTAAATTCTTGAAGTAACCAGACATTTATTATTTAGCAACACATTTTCATGTTCACATGTCTCTGGTGTTGGCTAATGGTACCATGACATTCAGTCTTATTCTGAATTTTTTTTATATTTATTTGAATTTTTTCATTATGATTTAATTAATTATAAGCTTTTCATTACTTCACGAACCCCCTGCAGTTCCCTCATGAATTCCAGCTCCGAAACTGAAGTGACTCATTTTTGATAGTCTCACATAATCACATTTGAGGTCAAAGGAAGTCGAGATGCAGCCCGTTTCCCTGAACTGACAGCTCTCACTCAGGAAATCTTTAGTAGATGGCTGTTCTTGATTAATTACATCATTTCACATCTTCAGAGTAGCTGCTGTCAGTACACAGTGTCTTCTTCTATGAAGCAATTTTGACTATGGCACATAGCTTGACTATGTGGCTGTGAATATAGCTTTAACCCACTGACATGTACTGCTCTGAATAATAAAATACTGCTCCATAAGCGCATCTCTGGTTTGGCAGAGGTCCTGTACCTCCGTGTGTTTGGGTTCCTCTTTGGCTTTGCGGCGGCTGCCTCTCTCCAGCACGCAGCTCTCCTCGATGCTCTCCTCCTCGGCCACTCCCACACGAGCACTGCGCCGGCGCTCCTCGAAGCACAGCTCCTCCTCCGGACGGCCCGTCTTACGCATCAGCGCAGCCTTCAGTCTGCTCAGACAAACACATTTATGAGAATGATGAAGCCAGTCCCAGAAGAGCTGCTTCACACCTGGTCCAAACCCTGCTCGCACATGCAGGATTATTTTAGTGTCCACAGTACTTTTGAGTCATCGATGTGAGTAACTAGATTCAGAAAGAAATAATCCAAGCCATTATCTTTGAGTGAAATCTAGTGATCATCCAATATATTGTCAAGGCCAATAGTTTGCTTTTTTTTTTTTTTTTATTACCAGCATCAGCCAATCATTTTTTCCGTTCAGCCAATCAAACACATTTATGAGAATGATGAAGCCAGTCCCAGAAGAGCTGCTTCACACCTGGTCCAAACCCTGCTCGCACATGCAGGATTATTTTAGTGTCCACAGTACTTTTGAGTCATCGATGTGAGTAACTAGATTCAGAAAGAAATAATCCAAGCCATTATCTTTGAGTGAAATCTAGTGATCATCCAATATATTGTCAAGGCCAATAGTTAGCTTTTTTTAATTTTTTATTACCAGCATCAGCCAATCATTTTTTCCGTTCAGCCAATACGTCGAAACGACTATTATCTTGACAGTATCTAATAAATGTCAACAACTACACACTTCAGAGAATCTCACATCTAAGGCTAAGTCCACACGAAGCCAGAGCTTTCCCTATCCGATCTTTTTTTTCCCCTCGTCTCAAGAAATATCGGTGTCCACACAAAACCACGAAACCGACTCAAAACGCTGTAGTATACATGCCAGACCAGCATGTGGCGCTGTAATTCTGTAACAGAGATACACTAAAACTGGAGAAGACTTCAGATTTATCCACTCTGGGACCCGGTTTCAAAAAATATCGGTTTCACGCTCCCAAAACACCGGATCCGTCTGGACGAAACGCCTATACGATACAAAATGTATGCATATACAGCTGAACGCGTCTTCGTGTGGACGGGGCCTAAATTTGACAAATTTTTAATCTTTTATATCAAGTTTGCCGCTATGTTGTATTCATGTCATATTCACTATGTGCAATAAGTCAAATAAGTGCAATAAGTGTTACCTTGTCTTTATTTGAATAAAATATGACTCCCATTGCACAAAGACTGGACAATTTCCTGAATGCATGTCGGTTACGGTGTTCACTTTTTATTCATATTTTTAACAATTTCTTTATTTGTGAGAAATTCTATATCGGAATTACACAATCAAGAAGTTGCCATCTAAATAAATCTCTATTTTAAAGATTTATATTTTTTATCAAGTTACATTTTTTTATTTAAATATAAATATGTAAAATAAACTAATTTAATTTCAGCAATTGCTGTGCATGTATACCTTTAAATGAAATAGTGAGATGTATGTGTGTGTGTGTGTGTGTGTGTGTGTGTATATATATATACTTCTCCAGGTCCAATGCCTCTGCTGCAGGTGGTGCTGCGACCTTCTTCCTGCGGCCGGGCTTCTTGGGTCCCTCTGCGGCTGAGAGAGGGCTTTCAGATGCCTGGCTCTGAGTCTGAGACTGGTCTTCATCATCCTGTTCCTGCTCTTTGGCCTTCTCCAGCTGCACAAACACATCAGAAAACACAGTCAGAGCTCAGAACACTGGGATTTACAGCTATTCAATTAAAATTGTGTGTATATCAGGGGTTCTTACACCTTCAGACCATTTTGATGACTTTTCCACTTAGCCCAACTATTTACTTCAAAGATCCGATAGTCGATATTTAAAGGCCTTTACTTCTGATATACTATTATTCATTTACAGAAACCAGGAGTGGCAAAAGATTAAAAATAATGACATAAAATAACTATAATTAAAATGAAATTTCATAATTCCAATAACTGAATGTTGTTTGTGGTTTACACTTTTTATAACATTAATTTTACATGACTTTTTTTAGCTTGTGACTACAGGTTTTAAAATTATTTTTTACTTATAATTGATCATTTCTAGCCAGTAATATATATATATATATACAGCTTTATAAAAAATTGAAATGTATTACATTTCATGACTTTTCCAGGTCTATATGTAAAATATACAGTTAAAATTCCAGATTGTCCAAGATCATTAGAACCCTGGTTGTTAAATAAAAAAGACAGTTGTTAAGAGAACAAATTAAAATGAGAAATAGGATTGCAACTTGCATCTTGATTTTTTAGCTGTTTTAGGTTTTTTTTAACAATTGTTTTTCATATTTAAAAAAAATGCACAAAAAAAAAAAACATTAAAAAGCATTAAAGAAAACATTACAAACATGATTAAAATTTGTAACCAATTACAAACCGTGCTTAGGAAACATTTAACAGGTGCTACATAGATATATTATCATTATTACATTTTTTTCTAATTTCAAGATTGTATTTAAATGCATAATCTTTCAGATTTTTCATCATCATGAACCCTGTTATTAAGTTCTGAACATATTTGAAGACATGGAGTTTCTTACTTTGGCTTTCCGTTTCTCCTGCCGGATCTTTTTATTCTTTGCATCCTCCTTTCTTTTCATTCTTGCCTGCATGACAAAAATCAGATGATCAGCTGGTCCCCAAAACACACTTTTTGTAATAAATAACAAGTCAGCTCACCTTTCTCTTCATTTTCTTCTTGATCTTAACCAGTTTTTCTTTTTCTTCCTCTGTGAGATCCTCTGTAAAACAATGAACATGAACTGAGCTAAGATGCTCATTATATTTCACATAAAAAGCTAGAACTACAAAATGACGAAAAATAAAAAGGTGGTACTTCTGCAACAAGCACATTTTTACTAAACCACCTGATCTGCATATTCAGACTCACCCTTTGCCTCCAGTCTCTTCAGCAGCCTGGCGTCCACTTTGCTGAGCAGATCCTCCATCTTGGGCTTGGGAGGTCGGCCTGGCCGTCTACCTGGGGCTCCTCTGGCTCGGCGGCCACGGGAACGAGGCTCTTTGTCTGGATTTGGTGGACGACCACGTCTGCCTGTTATAGCCATGATCATGGAGGGCACTTCCTCATTGGCGAGGAGGAACCATTTCATACCCTGTAACAAATTAAAAAGCAATGACATGTCTTGCAACAGTGTAACTGTCCTGAATCCACAGACCACATGTTTGCCTGTAGCACCTGTAGACATCTTCATACACACCTCAGGGGTTTCCCGCTCCTCATAGAAATCACCCACTGGCATGCGTGGACTGAAGCTGAAGTGCTCTCTCGAAACGCCCTGGAGAGCATCCTGATGCCTCTTCAGAAACTGGAGAATGCAGAGAGACAAAAGCAACTGGATGAAGACAAGCCTTGTTATCACTCACGCAGATTAGGTTACAGTAGTATTGTGGGTGATCATCTGGTGTGCTAGTATAACCGATCTCACCTTGATGACCTCAGGGAACTGCTTCATCCTCCGGCCGCAGGGGCTATAGTACCACGTCTCTCCTTTCAGGCGGTCCTCGAGCCTCCGGACTCGAATCTCTCGCCTCCAGCTAGCAAATGGGAAACACAGCACGTGAAACAGGATACCATACCAGTGAATTTCCATGACAACAACGCCTCCTTTTTACCCACGCGCTCACCTTTGAACCAGCGCATGCGCTAACCTCATTTTTAAGCCGGAAGAACCTTCTTGCATGTGAACAGAGTAGGGAGGAAATAACATGCTAACAATCTCCCTATACTTTAAACAAAAAACTCAAAGAAAACATAAATTTAAAAAAACATACAAAACAAAGATTAGTTACCAAAAAAATTCCGATTGAAAGTATAGAGTCTTTTCAAATGAACCTCTTTCCTCTCTCTTTTTTTTTTATTAATAAGTGTCCCCAGTCCTTAACCAAGCGCTTTCAATAACATCAGGGCCGATGCTCCTTTTTTTGTAAGACAGTCAGCGAGTTGAGTTTTTGTGTCCGACCAGAGTACCTTCTTGATTCTTTTACTCTGTATGAGCTCCTTTATGCTGCTTATTTCCAGTCGAAGACGTTTCTCAGTCTGTCACACAGATCAACGGAGGAGTATTCAGCTCAGCATTTCCAGTAGTAAGTTCAGAAAAGAGAGTAGTCAGAAAAATGGCATTATCTAATATATCTGACAGGGCAAGAGTTTCCCCTGCAAGAGTACTCCTCACCACTCGTCTAATTTTCTTAGATTGCCAACAGAGAGAAGAAAACTTCCCTCTTTCTCCCATGAGACCAATCAATGTCCCCCCCCTGTGTGCCCCCATCAGGGAGATTTCCAAGGGAAGCATCACTAAAAACAACAAAGTTTAGAGCATCAGTTTCCCAAATGTTGAAACCTGAGAGTCACCTTTTCAGATTTAAACTTTCTAATGACCTTATCTGTCTCGTGAATAGACTGAACTGTAGCATACTTTATATTTGATGCTAAACTGCATACATCAAACATAATGTCTGGTCTGGTTTGTTTTGCAACCCACAGTATTTGTCCTATTTTTGACCTAAGCTGCTCTTTTTTGATCTCATTAAGAGAGGCATCCCTCTGCACAGCACGTGTTACTTGCAGTCAAATAGGCTGTAGGTTTTCAATGTAACTACGCTGATGTACATGAACTACACCATTAATAGTAGCAAAGTCCATTCCCACATAGCAGAAATGTTCATGTTCCTCACGTCCAACATGTAATACAGACTTTAGTGTAGGTATCACATCTGTTGAGAAGTTTTGTGAGCCTGCCCAAAGAAAATCATCAACATGACATGCGAGTACTCAAGTAACCTTACACTGTTCATCCAACCAATAGAATACTGCTGGATCTACTTTAGACACTTTACCACCTGTACTCAGCATGATTTCTTTCACTTTGTTGTATCAATACAATGATGCATCTGCAAGGCCGTAAACACACTTGTTTAGTTTCCATAGAACATTTTCTTTTCCTGCTTCAGGAGGGGGCCGGACATAGATTTCTCTGGACAACTGCATGCCCTGCAAGAAAGCAGATTTGATGTCCATAGAATGGACTTGCCACTTATATTGACAGATTACAGCTAATAACAGCCTAAGAAAGTCTCCACAGGTTGGAGAATCTTTCTGCAGCTCGTGAATATTAAGCTCTTCAAAACCTCTGGGTACGAGTCGCGCTTTGGGCACAATACCATTCGGAGTTTCCTTGAGACTACAGACCCATCTGGTAGAGACACACGTTTGACTTGCATCATCAACTTCCTCAAAAACATTGCTTTTGTACCAATTCACCATTTCATCCTGTTTAGCTGCATCAAATGAAATATCTTTTGTTATGAGTACATCAGCCTCTCTATCAGTTGATTCAATGTGAAGATTATCAACACATGACATATCCACCGACTCTTCTTGCCCATCACTGCACTCGTTTTCAATATGTTGCAGATTGAACCAGTTTTTATATTTTCCAGAGGCAAACCCTGGCTCTCTGTAGACCACCACCGTCCTGTTTCATAAATGTTACAGTCTGTCCTGTTTTTAACTTTACACCAGCAGAAGAGACAGGATTACCACACACATCGTGATCGGTTTCAGGTTGTGTCATTCTAGGTTAAACCACTTCTCCTGTATTAACATCCCTGTCGCTGATGTTTTCTTGTTCGCTGTCTGTTTTCTCTCCACTACCGGCTGCATTGTTTAAGCTGCCTTTTTCACTAGGTACCTGGCTGTTGTCTTGTTCGTTTTGCTTATCTTGAGATTCCTGATCCTGTGTGTTTGTTTTACAGAGCCTGGATTGATGTACTCTAACAAGAGTCCC